TTTTTAATTGTATTTTATTCTTGAACCGCCTGCATACTGAGAGACTTTTCGGTGTTATTTGCACGTATTTTGCAAGCAACAAATTCTTAACCCGTATATTTCATGAGCAACAAATTCAAAAAATATCTCTGCACCAAATTTAAGCGAACAACACATTTTTTACTGCGGTATTTTACTTTTGTATCACTTGCACGTTAAAAGATTTTTCATTATTATTTTCATTTATTTCGTAGGTAACAGATTTAAATCTTGGATATTTCTATACAAATTAGCAACAAGTTCCTACGTTATTTTTAAGCAGAAGGTCGTTCTATGTATATTGTTTCGCTTCCTTTAGCGGAACATTATCTTTTAAAAAAACTTGCAGAGCAACAGACTTTTCTTCAATAACTTTTTAGTGACAAATGAGCAACAAATAAAAATATTAATTTGAATTGATTCTGCTCACTTTGTTCCATTAACTTATAAAGGTGGATTCTAAACGCGGTCAATAATAATGATCAATAATACTGAATCAGTAATATATTAATAATATGCATCAACATTTTCAGTATTTTTACAATCTTATACGATCAGTATTGTTAATAATATGTTTCACTTTAGTTTTACATACATTATCTATTGTACTGTGACATATTGTGACATGGATCCTATAATAAAGCGATACTGATACTCGATAATTAAAATCCAGATTGTCGTCAATTCTACATCAATCCATCAATATTAACCGCACACGATTAGTATAATATTGTCACTATTTGTTAAAACTGACAAATATTGACTGTATAAAGTCACCTTAAAACGCTCAGTTATTAGTACTGCTCGAGTTGTATCAATATACAGGGTGGCATTAAATCAACATCCATCCTGAGCAGGTAGAGTGGACTAAACCGAGTCGAAAAGTCCTGTACCATTTTGCAATATTTGCAATAGTTAACGAGATATTAATTTTAAAAAATAGCTAAATATTAGTTTTCAATAATTTTTTACTCAAATATTATCAAATTTACAGAAAAATATTAAGAGATAAAAATTATTTATTTTCTTCTCATAAAGCTCTGAGAATATTTTCAAAATTTTTTCGAAATTTTTTTTAGTACCGTATTTTCTCATGTTGATAAAAATAAGAAAATGCACTACTAAAAAGTTGATAGAAAATTCTAAAAAAATTCTTAGAGTTCTATGAGAAGAAAATAAATGATTTTTGTCTCTTGCAGTTTTTCTGTAAAGTTGACAGTATTTGAGTAAAAAATTATTGAAGATCAATATTTAGCGATTTTTAACTATTGCGAAAATTGCAAAATAGTAGAGGACTTTTCGACTCAGTTTAGTCCGCTTTACCTGCTTAGGATGAGTAGTGCGGTAATTTAATGCCACCCTGTATGTAATTCGAAAATAAAATTTCAACAATTATCAATTTTAATAGACTTTAAATAGAACTTAACTAGACTTTAATATACTTTAATAGACTTAAATACAAGATCACGAAACTTGGAAAAAAAGTGTCACGCCAATAATTTATCGCATTTCCAGCAACTTTTCTCGTTAATTTTAGCAAAATTAAAAAATTAAAAATGATGCAACATACTCAGATCGAAGTACGAACGCATTCCAGTCACTATCATACCAAAAATTTCGACGTGTATCATGCCGGTATCGAATAATTCTTCGCGACAAACCTCGGTAAAAAACGCATCACGATAAAGGGGATGAGATTTCGACGGAATATTTTTCTGTAAAACTCGAAACTCCTTGCTTCGATCTGAGACACGACGGATAATGGAATACGTATATCTATCGGGTATACGAATGGGGACAATGCGCATAAATCTATTCTCAAGTTGATAGATATGCAACACGCTCGTGGGAGCGAGCGCCAACTGAAAACGGATCGCTGACCCGTTCTATTGTCGAGACATTTCCTATTATAGTCATATATACGCTGAAAAGGAGTTTGCAACACTTTTATGTCTCCACTGGTCTACAGTTCTACAGGATAAAAATATACATGATTTCTCTATAAAATTAGGTATTGATGTAAGTCCGATATAAGTCACAAGCTTTAGAAAAGCATATTGAATCTTTGCAGCGAAGTGAATCTTTGGATAATAGTAGTATCTTTGAATAAAAGTAATATAATAAAGAAATAAATTATTTACAAAATTAAGTATTAATATTATATATATATATATATACATATATACATGTATATATATACGTATACGTATATGTATAATAGCAATTCTGAAAATAAAAGGTTTAAAATGATTAGGTACACTGAAAGAAAAGATTGTCTGCTGCAGCAAATTAGATGATAAAGTATGGCATAGCATTTTTAATTGGCTATAACAGCTAATTTTTGGTTGCAGCAGTCAACTTTTGGTTGCGTTAGCCTATCCGCAATATCAGTACAGGATTTTGATAGGCTAACGCAATCAAAAATTGGTTGCTACAACTAATTAAAAATGATTTGCCATAATCAATCTTTTCTTTCCTTATAGGAAAATTCTTTATCAAAAATTTTTTTATTATAAATTTATATAATTTTTTTCTCTTTATTTTCCTCCTATTTCTTTTCGCTTTCTCTTTTTATAATTTCTTTTTATAATCTCTTCTCGGTTTATAATTTGAGATCTTACTTCTATCTAAATGCTGTAATTATTTAATATATTGCGGCTATATATATTATATATTGACTGTGATTATTTTACTTTCGTCTAACTATACGTACGTATCAAACACGCATTATTGAATCATCGTGCAATTAATAATTACGGATGATTAATGTAAGTTATTGCAACGTATCGTCGCCATCCGGCGGCTAATTGACGCACTCGCAATTATTAATGATAATATTACAATCAATCATTATCACTAATTTTCGTGGAATGTACAACATGGAATATATAGTTTTTACGTCAAATTGGCTGCACACAATAATTCAGCTCCTCCTCATCACAGTTATCCTTGTTATCATGATATTTGCATGTAATAAATACATTAACGAAGTAATTTTAGCTATATTAAATGTAAATTAAATCTGATATGATACATTATAATTATCTGTGCTACCAAATTGAACTAAACATATGTTTTCGCAATTCTCTCTTATTCTCTGAAAATAACAATAAATTGTAGAAACGCTAAATTTTTCCCTTGTAATTTAATGCATACACGATTTTTCATAAAGATAGAGAAAGAATGGTAGTTTCTGTCTTAGTTTGAACTCATATCTATTAAAAAATGGGGGGAAAGACGCGATTTATAGACCGATATTTTCATACGCTGGTAACGAGCAGGAAGTAGCCGAGGCAATGGAACTTGCGGGTTAAGTGGATGAGAAAAGTTTCCCTAATATTACCGAGAGGCAAGAGAGAGATTGATCTGCAGGAGAGCTCGTCGAAGGGATTAGTCGTAGCCCGACTAGTCCCGTGCGATTTTCATCAGGTGATGGTACTTTAACTATAGATTAAAGGATTCGTCTGGTAACCTGAAATGAGATCCGCCTTCCCTACGAGACCGAAAACCCAAATCAGCCAGCAGATACGATGAAAAGGGGGATACATCATTGGCGACGAATTTACGGGTATTTGAAAAAGACTCCAGTCTGATAGAGTCTCTATGAACCTTTAACGAATTTACTCGGCTGCATTTGCGCAAAATACTACACGGTACACTGAATCGGGTCGAATTGCGTTGGTTATCCTTTCAAGGAATGGATTTATGCGAAATTTTAAGCAATCTGTGCATCGTATAACATGCCAATTTTGAATTTCAAAATTCATTCCAAAAGGAAATTATCAAAGTTGGTCGGAAAAGTCCAGTGAGTGGAAAATAAAACCATGATAAATTCTAATTTTTATTTCATGATTTTATCCAATGGAATAAATTAGTAAAAACTATTAAAAACGAATATGTAATATTAAGATATATATTCACATAACTTTATGCAAAAAGAAATATTTTTGCTTTAATTAGTAAATAAAAACAATTTAATAGTTTAAAGAAAAATAAAATTAATAGTGACGAATCAATAGTAATAAAACCTTATAATAATAAAATATCTTTTTATTATTTTATTTCAAATTAATATTTTAAAACAAAAACATTGGAAATATAAATGTTACTAAATGTTATATTAATTTTTAACAAGAAAAATAGTAACAGAATTACAAATGTTTATTAATATAGATTGGAGCTGCCTGTAAATTAGAATATCGATAAAAAGATTTACTATTTACTTTATCGTTTTTAATAAAACAGATCAATTTTTATCGGTTTTAATTTAGCACATGCGAAATTTTACCAACTTTGGCAATTATCCTTTACTAAATAAATTCTTATTTTGATTGCCGTTCTCGTTCGATGTTCAATTAAAAGACAGGAGGCACGAGCTCGTCCGTAATTCTCAAATAACTTACAGTTCGACGCGTTGATTATTATAAATCGAACGTTAACACACCGGGTTTAATTTGCAAGGAGTTGTGAGACCGTTAGACGTTCCATCGATAACCGAGCTGATGACTCTCGCGAGAGAGTGCGAATGCCAGGAAGCGCCATTCGACATTATCGAGGCCCGCGATATCCATCAGCCTAATGGTCTCGCAGCTAAGGTGAGCGTGTAAAGCTCATTAAAAGCTCGTTAGAAAGCCGCCACCGGCATACCGGGACGGTCGGGAAATCGGTCAGAAAAGTGGAAATCGAACGCGAGAGGAATAAAAACGATTGAGATAAACTCACGATTTACTGAATTTATCGCGAGAAATGCGCGAATGTATACAGCAGCTGTATTTTTTTGTGTAACAGCAACGGTTGTTGCTTCCTAATCTATACATATACAAGATCATTAGAGAGCTTAATGTAACGTCCACCTTCTTATTTATTTTGCCGTACAACGTTATTTAAATTTCATTAAAAATAATAGATCCAGGTATTTTGAAGTTCACTAACGTTTACAAGTACTAAAATATAAACGCGTGGCAATATCGAACAATATTTACCTGAGTCATGGTGTCGCCGTTAACTTTCAATTTCGACTGGAAATTGCTCTGCTCCAAGAGGATCATTGCGTTGTTAATGTAAACGTCCACACCGTATCTGCCTGGTCTCCTGGTGATCCACAAGGGTGGGTTGCCCTCCAACTCGGAAGATATTGAATCCCTCAGCTCCTCGATTGTCAAAGGCCGGTTCGCTAAAATCAACAAAGACGATATCTTGTTAGTATTTTGTAGCTTCATAGAAATACCTTGGATGTTTGAAATGTTTCTTTTTTTATTGTTCTGAAGATGAATGCGCTTCGAAAGAGCTACTTGAAGTTCAGGCTACCACAAGGATCGCGATTTAGTTCTTCAAGACTGCAAAGTTTTTAGTTCCTGAAGATTTTTATTCTCGGTGAAAAGAGACAAAGGAAGAGAAACAAAGAGAGAGGGAGAGAGAAAGAGAGAGAAGGATATGCGAAGAAAAACGCTAAAAATAACGTAAATGGCGAATGGAATAGAAGAGCTGGAGATAGAGCAACTTCAAAAAGTCCACGGCGAAGCTACAATGCTCGTCGCTTTATTATCCCGTTACCGGAGAACGTCCTCGTAATCTTGAGGTTTTTTCTCTCATACGGACGGATAATAGAGAACGGGGGAAAGAGACACATCCCTGCTATTGTTATTTGATGTGAAAGTCAGCTGTGATAAAAGCTTAATCGAATTTTTAACAAAAGTAAAATATTTTTTCTTACATTTTTTCAAATTCTCTCTCAAATTTTTTTGTAATGCATTTTATTAATCTTTTAGTTTACAAGAATCTCGAAAGCAATTTCCTTTGGATATGTTTTGTAATAAATATTACGTAAAAACTATGATAGAGAAAAGCTTATAGAAAGATAAGATGTATGTACATGTTTTTAAACTTCAAACAAAAATCTTAAAAAAGATAAAATCTAGAGTACTGAACATCTATAGGTAAAGAATTTTATTGCATGTCATTTCATTAATGTATGTGGCAACCAGATAAGCAATCCTCTGTTCTAAATTTCAACATTTTTCAGAATAAAGTCAAAATTGCACTTTGGTGTACGAACAAACGGAAATTATTCTACCCTATCATGCTCTTATCTTAGCATGAGAATGTGCACGCCTCCCTTGAGTGCGACCTATTGAATATCGCGGCAACGGGTATTGTAGTTTCTAAGAACCAGCCCTGCTCACGACACAAGCGAGTATATGTACCGTTCCTCGCAAGCTGAGAAAGTCCAATCTCCTCGAGGAAGAAAGCGACTGGGCGGTAGTACTGCCAACAATGACGCTCATTACGAACGCTAGGAATTGAGTCCCCGTTTCGTAAACCACCGGCCGTTTTATCCCACGAAAGTTTCCAGAACAAGAAAGCTGACGCCGTAAAATCTCATTCTCCCGACAGCGCAGTGACGATTCGAGTGGCATTTTCCTTTCGAAAAATAATTCCCCTCGTCCGCGAGTTTCTCATGGAATTACACGACAAAGCGACGTTTTATTCACGACTCGGAAATGTATTTCGTACTAATCATATCAGACAACATACAATGTCTAGAAGATGTCTTTATGATATCTTTTAGGTTCTATACAAATGTAAAATTAATTTTAAATCTAGATAACTACTATCTTTTTCTGTGATTCTTGAAAATAGAAATAGAATTCAATGCTTAGCAATAAACATGTATATCTCAAAAGACGTCGGATGCGGTCTACTTAGCACAACAAATGATAAAACATTTGATTGACCAACCAAAGAAAAAATTTTGTTGATTGTCTAAATTATTAATTGTCTAATAAAAAATAATTTGTTAATTGTCTAATAAAAAAATGCTTCGAAGCATTAAGTGGACCGTAGCTTTTATGTCTTTATGACGCCTTTAGACATGTATTATTTGGAACCGCTCCCAATTCGAGGAAGTGTTACTTCGAAGTTACACTTTTTAATTTCTCTTTGGATTCTCTCGCATCTTAAATTCTCACGTACTTTGATCTTCTGAAATTTTTAACGACTGCGTGAACGAAGTCGTTCATGCACTGCAGACGGAAAAATACGGGAACCTTTTTTAACGCGCGTAACTACGTCGGCGGTAATTCGCACGCGAGAAACTCGGACGATTCGTGCGTAAAACGGTGCAATAGGGTAATCGTAAAGTTTATGATCTACCGTCATATATAAATCGCTGGAACTAGACGATTACGACATCGGGAGAAGTCGCTCATCGCGTTGCCAGAGTAACGTTTGATGGCTGCGATTCGAGGCGTAAAAGTCAAAGCCAGTTGGCGAGTTTATAGCGAGTGTCGTTCTTCGCGATATATAACAATGCAGTTACGCGATATACAGGATGAGGCCGTCAATCCGTTGGGGATATTTTTTCCTCAGAGTATATATATACGTCCCATTAATATACTATGTGCATATTGAAAACAAATTTTACGTGTAATGATTCCTCTATCAGAAGAGCCGCATGCTCAGGAGGCTCTCTTTCACGAACTACACCTTATTAAGATAAATTTCTTTTGATACGCCATTTCTTCAACGTGAAGCGACTTCTAGCTTATCCTGTACATACATATCGGAGAAGTTCACTGCTCTAGTCTAGAATGGCGCATCGTGCCACGCTATATAACGCTTTTATATCTCCGTGACGCCTCGTCAATCATCCCTGAATGGTTGCATGCTTGATCATTCTTCCGCTAGGTGAGGAGCTTCGGAAGGGGATACGCGAAGCGCATACAGAAAGCGTTGTAGCTTCAATATATTACGAAACACTACGCGTGTGAATTTGAATGTGAACGATATACTCGTTCCATCCTGCTGTTACTCTAAATGTCCTAATTTTTTAAAAGGAAAATCGAGTTTTTAAAAAACCAGTTAAAAAAAGAAAAAAAATTTTGAAAATTAATTGTGTTATTCTTCCATTCATTTTTTTTCTTTATTACTTCATTATTATAGATTTTTCCTATATATCGTTCTCTTTTAGCTGTTTAGAATTTTATAAACTTGTATCTCAAATAAATTGTACTGTATCTCGTGTATTCATTGTTATCTCGAATAATTTACACTGTTAAAAAAAGGAAATTTACTTCCGTTACATGTAATATTTCAAGAAGATACATTAAAAATGTTTAATGTTGCCAATGAAAATGAAGTTATAAGTAACTCAAGTTTAACGTTTACTTACATTAAATTTCATGCAAATCTACATAAAATTTAATAAAAAATGTACCAAACATCGTTTTATAAAATGTACACTAAATTTCACGTACACGTACAAAAATATATTTTTCAGTTACTATAAAATCTTGAGGCGCGCACAGGGTTGTCCATGCACAAATTCCGCGTTTCTTCCGTTGGTAACTGTCCAGCGGATTCGCGGCCGAGAGGGCTGGTTATCCTCTCTCTATTTATTTCGGTGCACCTTCTGGCAGCGGAACACGGCGAGAATGTAATTTCGATGACGCACGCGAACAATATTTCGCGACACGACGCAATCGACGTGATCGTGTTGTCGGGTCGATCGTCGAGATCAATATGGTCGCTCAACGCATTACCGGTGCGCGCAGGATCTACGCGCTACTGCGCAGGAAATAGACCGCGCTATACTTCTCGCGCGGCCAATAGCAATCGCAGGATAGCAAGTCGATGCTCGCCGGACGAAGACGCGACATAAAAGCCGCATGATAACGAACAGTTACAGATACATTAAATTTAATTTAACGTCACAAAATTGAATTTAATTCGCGTAACTTAAAAGTGCATTAAATTCCATGACATTTTTAACAGTATATAGTACAATGAAAAATTGCTGAATTAATTTATTGGATCATCCTGGTAATCTCATTATACGAAAGCAGAATTTTTGCGAATCGCCGATAAGCCGGCATGATAATGCAAGGCACGTTTGGAAATTGGTTAAAAGCAGCGATCGTATTATCGCGGATCGAAATAGAGCTTTATTCGCGCCGACTGGATTTTTATAGCGCGTCTCCCGGCGTATTTTTCTTGTTGCGCCACCGGAGTGCTTTATGCGGCCGTGATCGAGTCGCGCAGGGCGTATGTATGCCTTTCAGAGGGCAATATCTCTGGCTTCGGGTACGGGGCTCTCGCGAGCATTTTGTCCCAGCAGCCGAGCCTTTCCGCTGCTCTTTCAACGAGAGGGACGCAGAGGGGGAGGCGGGGGACCGCCCGAATGATTAAGCTGCCGATCGATTCGCATTTATTTTCTACCCCGCCACCCGCGATGGCGGGCGACGCGGGGCACAGGTGCTACGGCCGACCGCAAAACGAGAACAACTCGCGCAAAGCTGCTTGCGCATCGATTTATATCCCCCAACCCTCCTGCCCCTTCACCCCGACGTCTCTTCTGCCCCCTTTCGACGTAGCCGGAATCCGACTTTCGAACATGCACGTCGGTTACGTCTGATGAGGACGAATTGCGTTGTTGCTTTATTGAATGTTTATTCAAATGTGACAGAAATGGCATAGCCAGATTCTAGAGAAAAGTACTTCTTCAGAAGTACTTGAGTATGTCTGTGAAATAATAATGATAGATAGAAAAAGGGACATAAAAGATGTAGCACTTCCTTTTTAATTTGTTAATTAAGGAAAATCAATTAATTTATCATTTGAAAAAACTTTTGCGAATAAGACGAATTAACCCGTTATAAAAATTTAAGGATTATAAAATTCGTATTTTTAATCGTAATATCCGTATATGATACATTATAAGTAAATTGCTTATTTATCCAAAAACATCTCTCTCTGTTTTTAATTTTAATATAGGGGAGAGTGGTCTAAATCGGACCTATTTATAGTTTTTGCTCTCTATAAAGCGTAAATAAAGTCTGATCGTAAAATCAAAGGTGCTATTGGAAAGATCATTTAATTCCCTTTATTTTTGCTTTAGACCATTTTGACGTATCTCTCACCTGTGTGGAACTATAACGGAAAATGTAAAAACGCTTTTTCCGGTCCGATTTGGAACCAATGATTCCAAATCGGACCATCCCCTGGTTTGAATCGAAAACTCCTATTTTTATGGATTTTTAGATAGAATTTTAAAATATTTTAATGTATTTTTCTTAGTATTGAGTAAAAACGAGTAATTTGACAGTCAAAGATAAAAATTTTTTCGGAAAAAAAAAATTACTGACTGTTTATATTATTAGAATTGAAATTAATAAAACTCAACTAATCTGAGTCTGATAACTCATGATATTTTACTGATTTA